AATTGTCCCATTTCTGAATGAATAGTGGACACGACATTATGCTATTTGTAAACAAAATATGGGATATCGAGGTCAGAAGCGACTGTTTGATTTTCAATTAGGATTATACGTGAACTGTTGCATTCTTAGCATGAAGAATTTCGTACCTAAATCTTACACGGTCAGTTATTCGTGTTCATACGAATACAAATAATTGTATTTATACGAAAAATTATTAAATATAAATAAAGTTCTTTAAGAACGTGGAAGAATTTTAGGACCGTTTAGAAACGGTTTTACAATTATGATTAGACTGCGGATTTTATGCGTCTACGACAAAACTGAGAGAACATCAGAAGAATTTGAGGATATTGTTACGTTATTTTCGACTTGTTGGAATTTTTAAAAGAGGGAAGACATTTTCGTCTAATTTGTATTTCTCACAATTAATGTAGACAATTTTTATTTTGCATAAAGATCGGCAATCTAATTATGACAGATATAATAAGCATATCATGTTGTTTAGTGCACTCATCAGGGTCATTTCTAGGTCATAGTTTTATCGATCTTTCGACTAGTCTTGATAAAGACTATAACTCCGCACCTAAAAAGCAGGTGTTAAATCGCACATATGGTTCCAACAGTACACAAAAATATATGAAATCGTGCCTATGACCTTGAAAAGTATTTGTGTTGTCAAAACACAGATGGGTATATTTAGATGTAATTTTAGCATCTAAAATTTGCGATAATGGTTGCAATAGGAGTTAAACTACTTAAAATGTCACTTTCATCCCCTATTTTATGTAGCTTCGGCTTCCATCATATCGCCCATTTTAGTAAATTTTGCATTAACACTAGACCTACCGAGCTCGAAAAGTGACAAACATGTTTGTTCTGACGGTAACAAGTTTGAATGTATTTAGACTTTTTGCTATTGTTATTATAATGTAAACTTGAATTTATTCTTTAGAAAATAAAAAAAAATGTGGGACTGTTTATTTTAACCGGTACGGTAGGTTTATTGTCAGTACTTGAAATTCAAATTTTCAAAAACTTCCTGTTAGAAACTAAGGTCTTAATTGACGGTAGATCGTTGCGGCATAGAATGGTTAACCCTAGGAAGACTAAAGGGGTTCTTCGACCCCACCAGTTATAAAATGCAGCGAGCTATACTACGATCGACAATGTTATAACGAACAAATGATGAAACGAACAGCTTTTATCGATGAGTCGGAGAAGCTATGGGAACAAAGATAGTACTATGAATGTTTAATTAAACTATTTCTATCTCTTGGCTACAGAAATGACTTCCTCTTCATCGGTACGCGATTCTTCTAACACAGCGAGCGTTATGCCTCCAACTAATATTAAATCGTTGCATTGAATGTTAAGTTTGCTCTAACTTTAGACCGATGGTCTGAAATAGATTACCTTTACGTCCATGTATTTCAATGCATGTACACTAAAATGAACAGTTGCTATAACAAATAACAGACTGATAACAGACTGACGAATAACAGACAGATAGAGTACGCAAAGGAAATTTTGTATCCTTACGTTTTTTTAAATCAGTTTTGGAAGGCTATATAGTTTAATAAAAATATTTATTTGTCAAATCATGCTGAATATTTACAGACAGAAATATCCATGTCGGCCGTGATGAATATTTACGGACAGTTAAATAAGTACATTTTTCTAAAGTTACAATGTAGTATTTATTTTCTAAAATATTGGGTTGGCAACTAAGTAATTGTCGATTTCAGTTATAGATGTCTCTCACTCCCATTTTTATGATATCCGTAAATGTTATATTATAAAATTATTATTATTATTATTATTATTATTATTATGTTATTTTTTATTATCCGTGAGTGTTAGCAACTGGACAAATTGAATGCAGCGGTCAAGGAAAAGCGACCAGAATTGGTCAATCGTAAAGGTGTCATTTTCCAGCAGGACAATGCTAGGCCGCACACGTCTTTGTCCACTCGGCAAAAATTGATGGATATTGGTTGGGAATTGATGTTACACCTACCATATAGCTCTGATCTCGCGCCATCGGATTACCACTTATATCGATCCCTGGACAACTCCCTTCGTGGTAAAACTTTTAATGATGATGACGCTGTAAAATCTCACTTAACTCAGTTTTTGGCCGAAAAGGATCAGACTTTCTACGAGCGTGGAATTTTCAAGTTGTCAGAGAGATGGCAAAAGGTCATCGAACAAAATGGAAAATACATTACAGATTAGACTTCATTCCAAGTAAAAAAAAAATTTTTATTTCATTGAACAAATCGGCAATTACTTA